AAAATAACCTCGGAATGAAAAGGCATATATCACTTGAGCAAATACGTAGCCATGTGGCCATCCACAATTTCCTTTATCATAGACATGCATACAATCACTACAACAATTTAATGATCGAAACCTCAATCTGATTTCCCAAGGCCACGGAAAAGCTTGCAGGGTAGAGGACATAATTCCAGCTCAAAACGTATCCAATTGTCAATCCTCCGTAGTTATGTCAAATTTGACTTTCTTGTAGTTATGTCCTGTGTTTTCCGCATGTTCGTTTAGGGGAATCCCATCACGGCGTGACTTCCGCCTCTCCCTCGCCTCCTTCGCTTCACGGCTCTTCCACTCTGCTACTTGCTTTTGTCTTCTCTGCGATCTATCCCATGCGACCGCAGCCGTGGGCTTGAAACCAATTCCGTTGATTCCGTACCCATCATCATTCGGATCTGTCGGCGCATATCCTGTTATTTCTGACTCATGCCATGTCAGCGGATTCTTATCCTCGTTGCTTGAAAGAGGAGGAGATTTTCGACGGGACATGCGCTTTTGTTGTGGGTTGGGTTTGGATTTTTGCTGTGGCACCGGAACTGGGCTCATAGTTCGCAAGCCTCCATCCCCTAGCAATGCGCGGGTCATCTTCTCTGTATCCTTTGTAGTAATCGAGGTTACTGTCGGTGACGCATCGATGTTCATTAGACCTTGTTCAGAAGGTACTTCATCCCCTTTATTGATCGTCTGCTTGTAATCTGCAGCACCATTGTCCGTGCTTTCAACAAATCTATGACTCGAAGTTCCGTGGAGGTCAAGTTCTCCCAGCTCTCCCACTACGGAGATTTGGGGGCTATTTCCCCCAACAGCGGGACTATATTCATCGGAAAGATGACCACCATCCTTTACACTGATGGACGTATGGGAAGAAGTAGGGGACGATGAAGAAGTCCTTTGCTGGTAGTCTATGCCATCGCGTTTGCGCTTTGGTGACTTGTGGAGTGTCAGCTTTCCGGTCATTATTGTGATGGAGCAGGGGGTAAGATGTCGTAGTATTGTGAACTTTTGGCGATCAGGGCGGTGCCGTTCATAAGGAGTAAATGCATGGCGAACAGCCACCTGTGCTAAAAGAGGGGTGCATTATGAGCCATTGGAGTTGGAGAGATGGCGAATTGGAAGCGATAGTGAGAAGAACGAGGATGTGGGATGTGGGATGTGGGATGTGACGTGTGTAGGATGGGGCATTTTCCTAACTTGACGATCACACCTACTTTAGCTTTAACCTAGTTGTTGGGTACTTCGTCATTGCCTTTCAAATGCAAAAGAGTGATTGGGAAAACCGGATTTATCCTTCAATTTATTATAGGGGGGGGGAAATCCAAAAAATCAAATC